TTTTTAAACATTTTATTTATTCATTTGAGAGAGAAGGGGAGAGGCAGGAAAGGGAGAAGCAGACTCCCCACTGAGCCAGGAGCCTAACGCAGGGCTCGATCCCAGGACCTGGGGATCATGACCTGAGCCGAAGGCAGACACTTAACCAACTGAGCCACCCAGGCACCCCTAAGATTTTATTTATCTATTTGAGAGAGAGTGAGAGAGAGCAAGAGAGAGAGCGTGAGCAGGGGGAGGGGCAGAGGCAGAGGGAGAAGTAGACTCCCTGCTGAGCAGGGAGCCCAATGCGGGACTCTGTCTCAGGACACTGGGATCATGACCTGGGCTGAAGGCACTGAGCCACCCAGGTGCCCCTGGGTATTTCTTTTTTTAATATAACCTGACTTGGCTTTCTTAAATTCATCTCTGAGGTAAGTGGTATATAGATTAAAACCAAAATAAATAAAATAAATAGTGCACAAATGTGAAATGATTCCTGCAGCCCCTTTCGGGCTCTGAGCTCCTCACCTGTCACAGTCTAGCCCTCGTTTGGGAAGTGGGAGTCCTTGTTCATAAGTCACGTGAGGTCTTAGCCACGTCGATGTGTTGGGATGGCAGGAGGTAAATGCGCGTATCTGTGCACATGGGCATTAGGTAAAGCTTTGTGCCCGTGATCAAGGTATAAGTGAGGAGAGCTATTATGATTAGTTAATGCCAATGCATGGGTGGATTGGGTGAAGAGGGGTGGACTCTACCTAATACCTAAGATATGAAACCTGAACTTGACCTGCAATAAATACAGTTGTTCAGAATGTGATATACCCAGTCCTTTGCTGCCCTCCCTGATTGTGGGTGTTCCAACCACACTCCCAGGCTGGTCAGAAGGACAAGGATGGACCTACAGAGCTAGATGGCGTTCCCTAGGGAGACAAAAAACCCTGGTGTCTCTCAGTGACAGCTGGAGGTGGGGTGGGAAGATGTGCTCATCACCTGTTTACCCTGGGATTAATCTTTAGCTCCCAGCAGATGGTGAAGGGCTTGTCTCAACACACCAGGATCTACTCCAGTGTCCACCACATGTACACATCCTGGTTGCTGCCTGACCCTAACACATTTTGAAATTAATGGGAAGAGGCAAAACGTTCTGGGAGCAGATCTGTTTGGGACCCCAACTAGCCCTCTAGCCCCTCCACAGTGCCAGCCATGAAAATGCCCCAAGGGGGCAGGCAGAGAGGCAGACATGGCAGGACGTCCCTAGTCCTGGGCAGGATGCCCAGGGAGCTCTGTGGAGGAGAGTACTTTCAGGGTGTGAGCTCTAGTCTCAGATTGGCCTTCATCAGCTGGACAAGTCGCATGGCCACTGAGGCCGTGGTGTTCTCCCCCAATAGGCGGGGATTGCTCTGTATGAGTTTCCAGTCCCTTCAGCGCTGACATTCTTCATAGGAACATTTGGTTGGTGAAGACATTGACTAACTCATGTTAACATTGACCAAACCTTGACCATTCGTTGTACCATGACTGAAACCTAACCAAAGTTTGTCCTTAAAATACTGTGGGAAGTTGCTTCGGGGATTTTTTGGACATGCCACAAAAGAAATTGTGGGGAAAAAATTAACCATGGTGATTTCCCAGTTATTCTGTCTGGTTTCTTCGGTTTCTCTCTCTCTCTCTCTCTTTTTTTTTTTTTTTTTAGCAGATTGAAATTTGGGAACTTAGAGTCACAGCCAAGATTGTTACTTTTGGAGTCCTGGCAATATTTTCTTTTCTTTTTTTTTTTTTTT